GAAACTTATGTTGCCATCATACACTTCTGGAACTCGTTTTAGGAGTATCGCCTGAATATAAGTTACTGGTGCTCCTGACTTATGTAGGCAGACTTATTCCTTGAGTTTAAGGTGCTCTACGAGCCTTGGCCTTCTTGATGACAGGAACCCATTCTTCTCTCTTACTTGTCTTTTTCCTCCATCTTCTCACTTTTTGCTCATACTTAGCACGTTCAAAGCAGAAACTTATAACTCTGTCCCTAAATAGGAGCCGGGATAGCTCAGTCGGTATTGCTACTGGCTACGGACTGGGCGACCGAGGAGTCGGAGTTCGAGTCCCGGTAGGGTCAAGAATTTTTTCTCTTCTCCACGTTGTCAAGACCGGCTCTGGGGTTCACCCAGCCTCCTACCTAATACATACCGGGGGGTAAAGTGGAATGGGCGTGAAGCTGACCGCTCATTTCCAACTAGTGCCGAGGTCAAGACGTATACATCCACTCACACATACACCTTCTGAGACAAATTTACCTTACCATAGCCCCTTAATCTTCACGTATTTTACGTCGCAGATATTTTTTTTTTTTTTTTTTTTTTTTTTGCAATTTATAAGAGAATATTTAAATGGATAAGCATTATAAAATAATCCGAGTAATGTAAGACGTGAACTAGTTCTCAGTTCAGAAACGAAAAGAAGGAAGCATTTGAAAGACAAAATTAATGGCAGGTAGTAACAAAAAGAATATCGTTTTTTTTTTTGTGAAGTCATGCATTCATTTAAGAAGGACTACCAACCTTGACAAAGGATGACATTGATTCCCACAGTATTCTGAATGGGCGGAAGAATTACATCCGTCAGCTACAGACCCAACTGAAATATAACTGAACCATTAATAACGGAGTCTACTTCTTTTGAGTCTGAGGTTGCAAAGGAAAGCACGTTGAAGGGCTTTAAATCGTCAGGTATGGATCAACTCGCCAAATAACTGAGCCAAGCCTGTGCTTCACTTACGGTATTGTGCAACATTATCATTTATGTCGGTATATAGATGAAACTTGCTCAGCTAATTGCAGCGAAACACGTAGCAGGAGCATTTCACATTTACAGTCTCTCGTCATCCCCCCCCCCAATTTTACTTGAGAATATGCATACAGCAAGGTCCAGTAAAACTAGATGGTGTTGGAGTCGAGTGGGGCACATTAATTTTTTCTCCCTTTGGACCTTGGCCGCTTTTTTCAGTTTCTTAATCCTACACACAGTCTGTAAGACTCCTTGGACGGGGGATCAGCCCGTCGCAAGGCCGCTACCTACACATACACACCAACGCAAATAGAATAAACACACACAGACATCCACGACCCCAGTGTTCGAGCGGGCGAAGACGGTTCATGCCTGAGACCGCACGGCCACTGGGGTCGGCAGGGACACATTAACTGGTCGAATCAAATTGCATTCATGGTGAAATGAATAGCGGATTAATTTCTGGAAACGCTTGCTACCAATCATTTGAAAATATTTTCCTTGCCTTCTTCTGCTATTTAAAAGTTCCAAGACTGAAGTACAAAATACGGCAACTTAACCTCCGTTCTCATTGGGCGTGAAACTTGGTCCCCAGTATAGAGAGAAGAAAAGTGAGTGAAGATATTTGAGAACAGGATGCTTAGAATGATGTCTGGAACGTAGAAGGAGACAGGCGCCATAGCTCAAGCGGTTAGTCGCTGGCTTCCCACCGCGGCGGTCCGGGTTCGATCCCGGGTCTGGTCAAGTGGGATTTGTGGTGGACAAAGTGGCGCTGGGGTAGGTTTTCTCCGAGTACTTCGGTTTCCCCTGCCAATCTTCATTTCACCAATTGCTCCACAATCACCCTCACCTATCATCTTGGGCTGGTACAATAGGCCAGAACTGGCGGCAGTACAAGGGACTTAGTCCCACCCCACTAGCATTAAAAACAAATAAAATCCTTCACAGCAAGGAACTTCACAATTTGTAAATCACGGACGAAAATATCGAAATGGCGTGCAGCACGACTGAGGTGATAAGAAATTTGGAAGAGAGATCACTTCAGAGAGGTAGGTGTGGATGGGAGGATAATATGAAAACGAGTTTCACTCTTGACCCTAAAGATGAAGGTAGTATGTTTCTCCGAAACGCTGGTACCTTATTACCAGACTATATGGCGTCACATCCAGAAATATGGTAATATTCACTGCCTTGACAGCCTGGAATGTCACAATATGAAAACACATTCAAAGAGGTAGGGTGTATAAGTGCGGACTGGATTCATCTGGCACAAGACAGGGACCACTGTAGCCTCTTGTGGGCAAGGTAATGAAAACATTCTGGTTACATAAAAGGCAGGAGAAATTTTGGGTATATGAGCTACTATTAACTTCTCACGAAGAACTCTACTCCATGGATGTGCTGGACAATTTGTACTTCCGTTGCGGTCTCTCAAGGCACGCGGTAGCGTAGTTAGTTGAGGCATTTTGCTACAAGCCGGAAGGCAGCGGGTTCGATTCCTGATGAAGTCACTGGATTTTTCAGTTGACCTAATCCTTCCAGCCACACTATGGCCCTGGGGTCGACTCAGCCCCTAACAGAAATTAGTACAAGGAATCTTCCTGGGGGTAAAGGGCGGCCGGTGCGTAAGGCTGACCTCACCGCCATCTATGAGCCGACTGTCTAGAAAATGTGTGAGCCTCGATATCTCACAACCCTATGGGCCTTCACGGCCTGTTACAGGGATAGTTTTATCTTTTACTTTACTTTGCAGCCCATTAATATTCAGTATGTATAACAAACTAAAACAAAACAAACTCCATGGCTTTAGTCCGCAAGCAAACTGCTAACTTCGCCGACAAGCGGCGGTCGCTCGATCGGTCTATTCAGTAGGTATTTCAAGAACAAAGGCTTGTAGTAAACATTGGAAAGTTTAGTCGTAGAAACACTAAATGGTGGATTAGTGGAAGTCTGGCTTCGAAAGTTCTTCGTTATTGAGGATATTCAGACATAGATGGGAGAAGACTATGTAAACGGACCTTGGAGAAATGTGTTGCGAAGATGTGAATTGGAATCAAGTGGCTCAGGACATAATGGCGGGGATATGTAATGCCTGTGATGAGTGCTAGGGTCTATACGAGTATTGTCGTCTTCTCGGTTATGACACCGTGTAGTCTGGTAGGTGGGTTCCAGCATTTCGGAGGGAAACAATGTTTCCATCTTCAGAATTTGGAAATACATAGTTATGTTCTTTGATACGTTAGTAGTCCACCCACCTACCAGACTACACGATGTCAAAATCCTGAAGACCACAATACTGTATAAATCTTCACTGGACTGTACAATAATAGTGGATGTCTTAATCAGATGAATGACCGTCTACTGTATAAGGTAGAACCAGCTAGCATGAAATTATGACACTTGCAGTAGGTGGCTCGCGCATTCCTTGTTGATAACTAAAATAAACTTTCTGACAGATATGTAAATATAGCCTATGCCTACCACCTTTCTGTTTCAGACTAATGCACCCGATAGCTCCCCCTCCCAGAACCCGTTACATTGTTTTCAATAGTCACCCTCGACCGTTACGTCCCAGTCCCTGGAATCTGGTAAAGGGTTCTCGGAAAGAAACGTCACATCCGTGAGGGGAGAATTGTACTACATATAATCAGCTGTGTAGTAAGCATGCATCTCAATGACCTGTAGACCACGATAGTGAAAGTCCGAGACGACGTATAGTCACACATATCGTGACGTCACAGAATTGAATCTCCCCCTCCCTTTCTATTAATATATCCTGCAAACTGCCGGTCCAAGTTTCAAATGAAGTATGATAAGTTATGAGAAGCGTAGCTAATAATTGTATATTTTCTTTAATGTTTCTTCTTTTATGCAAATATCGTGAAAAACGGGGTTATCTTCACTGAGTATGTTAACCAGTACACATGTATCCTGACGGGTCTGCTATATTTCTAAAAATAAGTACTTGATACAGCAACGTAATCTAAGAATGAGGAGACTGTGCAATAGTTCAAACGGTTAGGCGCTGGTTTCTTACCGCGGGGGCTCTGGTTCAACCCTGAGTTACTTCATCTGATCTGAAATTCATGGTGGTCGAAATGGCACTGGAGCAGGTTTATATCTGAATTTATTCTCTTTCCATTAGTAACCATCATTCCACCATTGCTTCATATTCTTTTGTCACCATCCCTAATGTATGCAACAGACCTGACCAGGCAGGGCACTGTCATACCCTTGGTCTTTAAGTTAGGAAGGCACTTGGCTGGCTGCAGAGTGGAGCACAGGAAATGAATCCTTTTTTTTTTAATTAAAAGGATATATTGGGAGAAATAAAGGGACCCAGTTCTTTTCATACTTCTATTTCTCCGGAAAAAATGGGTGTCGTATATCCAATTTAGTACAACACAATTTGTTTCGAAGTCAACAGTGTGTGCAGCACTGTATAAATATATTACAACGTGCAAGATATAAACATATACGTATATCTCAGATATATCTCAGATCACTATTCAAGGCCATTTTCTGGCGCAGTGAAAAAGCCACATGACAGGCTTGCGAAATTTTATACTTGAAACTTCAAATTACGAGACATATGCCAGGCTATTTTTGTGATAATCTGGCCAAGTAGAAGGCATATAAAAGAAAACAATGAAACTTATTAATATCTTAGATACAGTTTATTTATTATTACAAGAATGAGTTCATGGGTAACACAAGCTGGGAACAGAAAAATATTCTTTCCAAGTCGTGGTGTAGTCCTTTACAGTGTGCTGAATAAGAAGCAAAAGTAATATAATTACTGCCATAGACAAATGACAGTTTTCCCCTGCGCCAAAGCACCGTACTATGAAGGTTTTTAAAAGTAAGGGAAAGATCCATGTAACTTGGATCTCTGCATCAGACGAAGGAAGTTCTCAACTTAATACTCCGACTGTTTTACCCCCGGCCAAGAGAAATTCTGGACGTTAAATAATACTAAATGACACAAAATGATACATCTTACCTACAGAGCTGCTTCTCCAAGGTAAAGTCAAGGAGCACGAAGAACAACACAAATACTATATTTTGCAGCGAGGTGTTGGTTTGTAAGTTTGTTGTTTGTCCGTGTGTTATAACGGTTTTCGATATACACGCACTTGATTTAGTCACGTTAGAGCGTCGCTAGACACACGTTCGGATATGCTTCCGCGTAGTTGAAACAAACACAGCACACTGACATACGTTAGAGCTGTACTGAACTGAACGCGTCGCAGGCGAGAAGGAATGTGTCACACTGAAGCACAGACGGTCACAATTATGGCAGCACAGCTGTAAGAACGGGTTTAATGAAGTGAGATGTTTAACAAAAAGACACACAAATTATTTGTTGAAGGATTTCGTGGAGGCGAATCGAAGGTTACCAGAAGAAACAAGCGAGTAGCGAAACTCTGGAGGGCGTTGGTGTCGAATCATGTGAAGGCATGGGCTGTGGAGGAGGGAGTGGGGACGAAAGATTCGCGCTTACGTCACACGCGGCAGTGCATTTATATACCTTTCAGTCAAGGTAAAAGGATAAATGTGGGTCACAGTTAGGAAGTTTTACGCTGCTCTAAACAAATTAATGTAACTTTCTATGCAGGATTACCATTTTCATTGTCAGGAGTAGACAGCTGTGTGAACCGGAAATAGTTTTAGTAAATATGTGTAAAGAGATCCTGTTCCATAGCTGCTAAGCAAGTTAGTATTGCGTCTGGATTATATGCGAGAGGTAACCGGTTCGAATGCCGGCCTGGATATCGAATGTCCTAAGTTCTTCGTGGTTTTCCTCAGTACTCATAATGCTGGAATAGCACTTTAAATCATGCCACGACTTCCTTTTATATACTTTCTGATTCTTATTTACTAAATCTTAACATATTCGACGCTATGTACTGTGAACTACTGACAACGTCATTAAGTGAAGCATACATACATGAACGTGGTTAAATAAGCACAATGTAGTCGGGTTCTCCACGAATTAATGCTAATCTGTACTCTTAAGGACAGTGGATTTATTAATATATTCATACATTATTTAACAGTGTTTCAGTAGCTAGACTATACGTTGTGGAAAGGAGGGATTACAGATGAGTGATGAATTGAAAAGATATGGAGAGAAGCGGTCGAGGCCAAAACAGCGAATTATTTTGAAAATTTCCAGGAGGTAGTAAGGAAAACCACGATAAATCTTAGTAAGGGCAGCAGATGTCCTGACCAAGATTCGAAATGAGCACCTCCCGAATACAAGTCAAGAGCATTACCACTACAGCAAGTACAAGTACAGTTGGAAAGTTAATCACAGTATAGTACGTTATTTTTTATCATCACCATTAACATCCTAATGAATTATGTCATGATTGGTCTGTTCCGTCCTCTTGAAGAGTATGCTGGTCCCTCCGTCTGAACTGTGGGCATCCAATGTTTCGTCTTCTGTTTGGGTTGTATGTTACATTTTTCTTTTAAATCCGTCTGTCTTCAATTGGTAAAATGCGATATTTCCACTACGATATGGATTTTATGACTTTATTATTAAATCAAATTGTTCAGTTCTTCCCTAATTTTAGTATTTCTTATTTAGTCCTTCCCTGGGTAGCCTGCTACGCTGCTGAAGGATTTCATTTCTGCAGTTTCAATTTTTGATACAATTTTTTGTTTTTGTTATAGTCCAAGTTTCGGATCTCTGTGTAAGTATTTGTAGCGGGAGCTGGGATAGCACAGTCGGTATAGCGACTGGCTACGGGCTGGAAGACCGAGTGGTCGGGGTTCGAGTCCTGGTAGGGCCAAGAAATTTCTCCACGGCGTCCAGACCGGCTCTGGGGCCCACGAAGCATCCTATCCAATGGGTACCGGGAGATCTTTCCCTGGTGGTAAAGCGGCAGGGGCGTGACGCTTACCACTCATCTCCAACTAACACCGAGGCCAAGAAAACGTGGATCTATACATCCACTCCCCCATACGTCTTCATGGAGTAGTGCTTAATTAGTTAAACACAGGGACTTCACCTTTTTTACCTTTACTTTTATAAAACTTTATCTCTTTATGTTTCCTTCTCTCGTTATTCGGTGTTCTTCTTATGCTGCACATTTGGTTAAATACATGCATTTCTGTTTCTAAATCTCTTCTTTTTATGTTATACTTCATTAACTGTTAGCCATATGAAAAATACCGTTGGAGCAAAAGTCGTAAATGATTGGTACGTATAGACCTTGTTGTATTCCACGTACCAGTGAGAAACCCATGTTAGAACTATTGTGTGAGAACAGAACGGAATCCCCCATCGGTGTTAAATTTCACAGAAATCCTCTCAGTAAATTTGGAGACAGGGCATGAGGACAAAGGTTTGGTCACAGCCACCAATAATTTGTATTTACTGCTATTTGCGCAACGAGTCGAGTGAAAAAAAGAAGCTAGCAAGAAGGAAATGCTTTAAAAAACATATTGTGACGTGGACGGCGCAACGCTCGATAACCCCCCCTCTAGCGGTGACGTAACATCATCGGAGCAACTGCCGCTGCTACGGTAACAGGCCAGTCAACACTCCGTCCCCCTCCCCCGCGGTGACGTAACAGCACTTCCCACAGTGACTACACAGCAATAAACAAGTCTCGGCAGCGTTCCCCAGCAACGCCTGTAAACACGACGTTACGCAACAGTGGTAGCTATCACGTAACTGTTTTCTGATTGTCAGTGTGGAAGCTACATAACGAGGATAACCAGAGGAACCAGTCAGTTGCAGTCTAGCATTCGCCGGAGTGAGTTGAAGTCCATTGTTATTGAGTTGTATCGAGTGAATGGCAGTGACTCCAGCAGGAGAAGTAAGTGTGATACTGCAGATGACAGTAGTTGTAAAATTGTAAACTGTATAAATGTAAGAGCGAATGTGCAATAAATTCGCTAGATCCAGAACGGCGTGAAGTTATTTGTCGCGTTATACACCCAACACGCCACAATATGTTTCTTGTTATAATTACATGTTCACTATCTCCTTAAAAAGATAAAGCTATACCTGTAACAGGCCGTGAAGGCCCATAGGGTAGTGAGACGTCCAGGCTCCCACATTTTCTCTAGACAGTCGGATCACAGATGGGGGTAAAGTTGTCAGCGTTACGCGCCGGCCGCCATTTCCCCCCAGAAAGATTCCTGGTACTCGTTTCTGTTAGAGGCTGAGTCGATCCCAGGGCCATAGTGCGGCTGGGAGGATTAGGTAAATTGAAAAAAATCCACCTCATCGGGACTCGAAATCGCGACCTTCCGGCTTGTAGCATATTGCCCCAACCAAATATTCTACAGCGTGTCCCTCTAGGAATTAAGAATTCGCTTAGTGGGGGCTGGAGTCCAACTGAGTCCACTCGGCACGGCGGCCACTGATTGGCCTATTCTACCTGCCCCGGGTGATTATGCTGATGGAGAATTTGGTGGAATGAAGATTGGCAGGGGAAAACGAAGTACTCGCAGAAAACCCGCCCCAGCCCCACTTTGTCCACCACAAATCCCACTTGACCAGACCCGGGATCGAACCCGTGCCGCCGCGGAAGTGATAGTGTAGGCCTGTTCGTGTAGTGTGCCGTGAACCGCATAAGAGGAGTGGCCAGGACGACAACTCTCAGCCGTATAAGTAACACGTACTAGTCAGGCAAGCCCCGACAGCAGTTCACAGAAATATTATCGTAAACACAGATACTGGTATAGAACAGCCTAACCCAAGACAAATTTAACACAAGGAGATCACTGTGCTGGTATCTAATGCAAATAAAAGGAAACACCATACTCATAAAATGATAATGCAAGTAACCAACTCCATGAGAAAATTCTTTAGCACATCCAAGTTTGTTGGGGTGGGGTGAGAATGAGTCCACTTGGTACGTTGGTCACTAACTCCCCTACTGTAACAAAGTTCCAGATGATAGATCAGGAGTGTGGAGCATTCGGTGAAATGAGAATTGGCAGGGGAAACTGAAGTACGGGGGAGAAAACGTGCCCCAGTGTCGCTGTCTACCACAAATCCCACATGACCTGACCTGGGCTCGAGTCCAAACCCTCCTGAGCTATGGCGCGGCTTCCAAGGTGTCTTACAGCTTTCATATTAGCCTTCTGTTTAGCTCTGTACTGTGGCAAGTAAATCCAGACCATGTCTTCACACAGAGGAAGGTAAACAAGAAGGCCGCGCCATAACTCAAGCGGTTAGTCTCTGGCTTCCCACCGCGGCGGCCCGGGTTCGATCCCGGGTCTCGTCAAGTGGGATTTGTGGTGGACAAAGTGGCACTGGGTGGGTTTTCTCCGAGTACTTCGGTTTCCCGTGCCAATCTTCATTCCACCAAATTCTTCATCATCGTAATCACCCGGGGCAGGCTCCAATAGGCCAATCAGTGGCCGCTGTGCCGAGTGGACCCAGTTGGACTCCACCCCCCCACTAAGCGAATTAAAAAAATTAAAAAAATTAAAAAAAGGTAAACAAAAAACCAACAGAAGCAGGCGGGAAGCCGAGCTTCCTGTTTTTTTTTACTTGGCTTACTATTTAACCCTAATGATGGCGGCGATATGTTCCTCCGAAACGTCGGGGTTACTCCGATCTACATGGCGTTACAGCTCAGAAGACTGTGTGCCTTATTGTCACTACGTGAAACCTCAAAACCAAGAAATCTCACGTAATCCTCCCATCTACACCGAAGTCTTCCAAGTGGTATCTTCCCTTTAGGTTTTGGCTACAATTCTGTATGAAATTCTCATCTCCCCCATGCATGTTTCATACCCTGTCCGTCCTCATTAATTTCATGACCTGGAAAGCTTCGAAATGTAGTGTTGGAGAAGGATGGAGAAGATCAGTTGGACCGATTATGTGAGAAATGAATGTGTTATTTAGAGTCAGTGAGCAGAGGAATATCCTACACGAAATAAGAAAACGGAAGGCTAATTGGTTTGGTCATATCTTACGCGGTAACTGCCTTCTAAAAGAAGTTATTGAAGGAAAGATAGAGGGGCGGATAGAAGTGACCAGAAGACGAGGAAGAAGACGTAAGAAGATTCTGGATGACCTTGGGGACAGAAGAGGATATTTTCATTTAATTTGAAGGAGACAGCTCTAGATCGCATCAAGTGGAGGAACTGTTTTGGAAGAGACTGTGGACCTGTCGTCTTGACAGATTACTGATGAATGAATGAATAATACAGGATGTTCCATTGAAAGTTCCCACATTTTATCATATCTTAGAACAGAAAGTATGAATGGTAGGAAAATGGAGCTACAGGAAATACAAGAACAACTAAAGAAATTTCATCTGAGACACTAATAAACCTCTGAAAGTGCACCATTGGTAGCACGAACAATAGCCAATCTGTATTCAATTTGATTTGTTTCATTCTGGTCCGTCACACTAATATTATGAAAAGTTAAATAGTTCCGTCCATTGTAACTGGTTAAGATTT